TGCGTGAACCTGTTATCCTCATCGCCTTTTTGTTTAAGCTTCGATTAGCGCTCTGGCTGGAGGCTGTGGTATTCACGACAGTGAATAGTCTTATAGTCAGCACATTTTTGCTTTACCCTGCATCATGTACTTGGCATTTACTTACTCCCCTCTCCCTCTCCGTTTTAGTGTTACCTTGGCGATGCGTTCAGGTGTGCTTCATGTCCCTACCGTGGCATGCCAGCGTTCAAACCAGGCGAGAAGGTGGTGCTTCCGGATGACTTCCTGAAAGCTGACGTCTAGCCGCCCCATATCCCACCGCACATTACGCATTTCTTGACTTGTACCTCAGTCGCACCTCGTTCTAGGTACTGGTTAGAGACCATTTTCTACCTTCTCTTCCCCGTCGTTCGATAATGTCTGCAGACTATTTTTTCTCCTTTGATCACATTAATAAGTTGCTGCATCACACTTTTGTTCCTGTTGTCTGCTCGTACTGTCGATCTCACATAATCAGATATCGAAGAATCACAAATTACATCATAACACGGACAGATAATCACCCGGCTATAAGGGATATAACATTACTACTTGGGAAGCCTTGCATCGCACCTCTATTATTATCAGCTGCACGTTGTTGTTGTCTCGGTCCATTATTATGTTTTATCAAGTTTATTGTTCAAGTTCAGGTCGTTGTTTCTAAAAAACGAAACCTTGAAAAAACTAAAAACGGGGAGACAATACAGGCCCTTTGAGCCTCGCGTTAAAGTTCCAATCAACGTAATTAAGGGGGCAATAAAAAATCAAAAGCTTCCGAATGTGACAACTTGTGGAGACCCTATCACGAGTATTTGCAGCAGCTGCCGTCGTTATTTCTTGCAGGTTGCTGCCGTTAAACAATTTTATTGCCAATGACAGTTCGGTTGACGGCCCGATATTCCGACCCACTATTAAGTATATTGAAAGCGGAAAACCCTTGAAAAGCAGATAACTCCACAAGTCATGCCAGTGGAGGAATACAGCTGCTAAGGTCTATTCTTGCCATCTTCTGTCAGTCACACAATGAGGAAAAGAACAATTGCATTCCAACGGGCACGGCGTAGGTGGTAGACCGAATGAATTTTCCTGTGACTAATCCTGCGCCAATAAGTATCCGACCTAAACGAATGGGCAGGACATAAATTGCCCTGGGTAAAGTGGTGCTGTCTGTTAGGAGTTTAGCCTGACCAAATGCTAGCAATATTGGAGGCTTTCCCGAGGCGTCGAGCCTGCCGAAATGTATTTGCTTCTTCGTTCTGACTGCCTACGCGCGATTGCCTTACAGGCTGCATCGGACACACGCACGCGCGTCCAAGCACCTGCCACATGGACGGAGTTGCTTAAGGGTCAACTGGTCGCGTGACCTTATCCCAAGGACCTCATAGAAATCGATAGTCAAACACACATCCCAATCGTGCCACCGGCGAAGGCACTTAATAATCTGTTATAATCCGATGTCACCTCTCAGACAGTGATTTGCAACACGGACTGCGAGGACATTGTCGGGCTAGAAACGAAACGGAGACATTCAGCGCGCTGGAGATCAACCAGCGGCAACCGCCACCCGAGAAAGCAACTCCGGGCTTGTACACAATAAACTCTCCTCCGGGTGGATTCCAAAGTTACGCCCTTCTTATCATGTTCTTCCTTGGCGATTCCAAAGGGCGTAACTAGACGGTGACACACGTCAGATGTCACCGTTAAAACACTGTGGAATGACCCGACTGGCATACCTCCGGTCTCGTGTGTTAAGCGGAAGGTCGGATACCTAAATAGTAACCTCGGCTTTTTTAGTGACTTTGCAAGTGTTAGGTAGCTCGTGTGAGCTACGGAATGCCAGAGTCGGTGTGCGCCCACATTTCCATAAGACAACTATCCCCTAAAAGTTAAGTTGTGATAGATACTCGACAGAAAATGAAGTCTGGGATGACCTGACAAAGACAAGCGAGAATCGAACGACCGTTTCTGGCTCTTTGATAGTAGCCAGCCAGGCGTGCACAACCTGAGGGGTTGCACCGTTCCATGCTCGAATCCGCTACAGCCACTAAACAATGGGTTCGTTGTCCAGTCAGTTTCGATCAGGAATAGTAAAATTGGTAGATGGGCGCTCACTGATCGATAACGAGACGAGAGCGAACTCGAGCCTCGGTGTTGCAATACACGAGATTGGGTATGGCTGACTGATTATGGCTAATAACCCCAAAATGGACATTCCAGTCTTTCTTAGGGGAGGTTGACAGATTTGCTTAATTCAGTTGACCCAATTTTGAAAAATTCACGGCCTCGCTGGGAGTCGAACCCGCATAGCAGGGAAGGCTTTTGCGCAGCCAACGCTCTACCATTGAGCCGCGGAGCTCACCGTGCGCCGTAAGTTTAATCACACTTGGATCGATTTCACCAGCCCAAGTTACTGCTTGTATGGAATTCACCATTACGGATACAGTAAGCTGATTGCCCAGGCAATATTTCCTAAGCAATCATCTAGAATCCACCAGAATGAGTACTATGCTCACTGAATTGTTGGGGGAGGGGGGGAGTTGGCAGCTCAGTGGTAGAGCGTTGGCTGCACAAAAGCCCTCCCTGTCGCGTGGGTTCGACTCCCACCGAGGCCGCGAATTTTTCACAATTGGGTCAACTGAATTTTTTGTCCTTGTCGGCACTATTACCGACAACACATCCCGCTGAGCGGCTGTTGGCGGGGCTGCAACATTAGCCCCTGGGCAGTGCGGAAAGAATGAGTTACGTAACCAACCGGTTAGAGCCATGATTTTGCAGTCGAGAAAGTGCCTGTGGAAAATTTAAATTTCGTGCAAAAGCAGCATGGACATAGAAAGTAGAAAAATGACATAGTAGAAACCAAAGGCAGATCTGAAGGTGGTGCGTAGGCGATATGTGTGTGTTTATGTGTTAGTATATTGTAAAAAGGTGTGTGTCGTGGGTTGTCAGCAGTTGAAGGTATCCTTATGGG